AAACATACATTTCCTATGGTTCAGTCAGTGTGGAATACAAAGAAACTTTAGCTTATTTCATTAATCCTTGGCTTATCCTCCCTGGGATATATAACTTTAAACACACATTAGCAGTAAAGAAGGAAAGCAATGGTGTCAACAAATTGTTTTCACCAATCAATGCTAAAGATGGATTTTAAACAGGCATCTCCATGGAAGATTTCACCTCTGTGGAAGTGAAAGTAATTTGGTAAGTGTTTTCATCTGATTTCAGATCACCTAGATGAAATATTCACTCCTCATATATCTGATATTTTTATTCAATTATTAGAGGTTATAACATTCAGCTAATTACTTATGTACCTGCTATTTATTTGCTTTGAGTGATGTAGGCATGGATTTATATACCACATATATTTAAGTTTTGATCCTTTTGCTCTTACATAGGAAGCCAGCCAGCATTTGAAATGTGCATCTCATTTTCAACTAAAAAATCCAATCCCATTTTCCAGGAAATCTGGATGGTGCAGTGGCTAAAAGTTCAGACTCTAGAGTGCAACCAAATTTTAAGGCCAGTGAGTTTTCGAGCAAGATCCGTCTCCTTAGTCTCTTTTTCTAAGGAATAGAGCTGATAATGTTTATCCCCTAGGGTTATTGAAAAAATTAAATAAGGTAATAGCATTCAACACAGAGTCTGCCCATAAGGGCAAGAATCACTGTTTGTTTTGTTATCTGGTATATCCTAAGAACCTAGAGCAGTGCCTGGAACATCAAAGTTGCTCAACAGATATTTGTTAAATATATAATATTCCGATTAACTCTGATACTGGGGAGAATTTCACCCATCAACATGCTAAAAAATTGGCTGAATTTCGGTTTCTTATCTTGCAAACAGTATCACTAAATGATCCTCAAAAGTTATATAGTTTGTCCTCTGCCCTGACACGACTTCACCCAAACTGCCAAAGATAAGTGCCCTATCCTATCCTTAAAATCTTCCTCAGCAGAAGGCTGCCTAATCTTCATAGAACTCAAAACTCTTCCTCTCTCTGGTATAAAAGTTACCTGCTTCTGCAACTACCTTTCTTATTCCCTCCTCTACCTCTGTCACTTTCTTACCCACTTTCTTTTAGAACTGCTCTGTATTTACTGCTTTTTTTTCCCCTCCAACTTGCTAAATTCATTTTGAAGGTCATTCCTTGGGTTTTGTTCTCCTAAACCAGTGGGGGCTGTTGGATTCCAGAAGCCAGCCTGCAGCCATGAAACGTCTCATCCCAGGATCTACATAAAGGCCAGCCCTACAAACCATCTATTGTCTGTAGGTGGGATTCTGGCAAAGTTGGGCTCCATTTGGAACCGGTTCTCTCAGTTAGTATAATCTTCTTTTGAAGTGTTCAGGAATAAGTCCTATCTATCTTGGTAGGGGAAGAAAATTCACATGTAAAATGATTAATATAGGAAATTATTCTTTTGCTTTAATAGAAAATGTTTCTTGTTCATGTAAATTAGTTAAAATGGCAAAAGAATGCATTAAAAATTTTAATCCTTCTCTCAGATGTCTAGGATAGTGTTAAAACCTTGATTACAACATCTTTAGTTGCATACACGTGGTTTTAGTAACATCCACATTTCTCTATCCTAATAGACCCAAAGAACCAAAATGAAAACTTTAAACTACTTTGTGTGTAGACTCTTCTGTCATTAGGCCTGGCTTGTTTATTTGGCAGTAACATGCAAAATATTTACTAATATTAAAGATATTATAATGATAGGGAAA